TTACTTAACCTTCAATCTACATGCTGGACTTTGTTCCACAAACTGCAGGCATCTGTGTACAAAAGCTGCGCTCTGGGTAATTAAATATCAAATATCATCTTGGCTCACTGAAGACTGCTGGAACAATTTTGACTCTGGGAATCATGTTTAATAACAATCAGGTGAGGCAATCGACAAACCCTTTATATAAACGAACAGCACTAAAAACCTACTGAGTACTAAAGGGCCATGCAGTATGGCATCTTGCTATCTCTGACTTTAGTCTGGATAAAATATGCTTTGAATTGCATATTTTTTCAATGGTCACTGCTGTGCTTATTCTCGACTATGGTTATATTCAATTTTAGAAACTTAATGTTTGCACAAGTCAATGCAATAACCAGAATATTGGAAAAAGACACAGACACGGGATTTATTTGTATTGATTTATTTGCAATCTTGTGTTAACTTATCCTCACAGAGTGATTACATATCCTTACTATTTGGGCCAGGATAAGTAAGGTATTAATTAGGTTTAAGATAGGGTCATGTTCAAGCTGTGGAAAGAGCGGAAAATGAATGGGAGTCAAAGCGCTTTCCTTAGTAATTCTATATAACAAGCCTGTGTTTGTAGTAGAGTTGTGAGTGTGCATAGGGGAAATCTTGGCTTGTTAGATATAACCAAAATAAAAATTAGGGGCTTTTGCCTATGGTAGGGTCTCCCCTGCCAAATTGTCCCCAGGGGCATTTTCATGCAAAGAGACTGACAGATGGCAAACCATATAGCATTGTCGAACTTTTGCTCCTGGTGCTCTGAAATAAAATAAATGAAAGACAGTGTGTGCCTCACCCGCAGGGATGAAAGTCAAAGTTAGCTGGTATGAGGGTCCGGTGGCAAGGAGGAAAGTGGGAGTCAGGAACTTGACATGCCATTTCTTGGTATTACAGTCTGGCCTTAGGGAGAAATCCAATGTCAACCCATTGGTATGGGATCAAAATTTAATTAAAAGTTGAGCTCGATATACAGTTAGTTGGACTCACCATCCTACACAGCTCATGGTTTTAAAACCTAGCTCCTTCCTAAAGTCTCAAATCTTGGGAAGATACCGGGATAATAACAAGACCTTTTCAGAGCTCTTTTTATTGAGTATGGCCTTTGTGCACGGAGGAAGGAAAGTTCTGACAGGTATAGAAGTTTAACAGCAGTTCACATACTGTATCTTGGTCTTCTTGGAGTTCTGACTGGTTTAGGGGAGTGCATTTGGTTGTGCTCTTGCGCTTCTGGTTAATTCAGTGCCCCTGTGGACGGTAATGGAGCTACCTACCTGGAGATGTGTGGCTTGGACGAGCAGTTTACACAATCAGAGCAATATCGTTATTGAACATTTAACCTTAACTATCCTTAAGATACATTCTGTCAGGCATAATATGTTTACATGTTTACTTAGAAAACAGGCAGTGCTGATCAAAAGAGGGTCAATTTTACTAAAATATAGTAAGATTTAAACAGAGTGGACAGACAATGTTACTGAATTCAATTCAAAGATTAGCAAATACAGTTTACCATTTCTTTTTGTTTTGTTTTTCTTCTCAGGACATGTCCACCATTGTTTCTGTATTCTCTGCACTCTTCTGTGTTTTATTGGCCCAGTCCTCATTCTGTAATGGAAGTAAGATCCTGGTAGTGCCTGTTGATGGCAGCCACTGGATCAACATGAAGATTATCCTTGAAGAGCTTCATGCCAGGGGCCATGACATCACAGTTATGCGCTCTGCGAAGAGCTGGTTCATCCCTAGTACTTCCCCTATTTATACCTCAATTAATGTCACAATGTTTGAGGATGATGCAGACAGAGAATTCTACATTAAAATGCTCAAGGATGTAATTGATCGCCGCAGCTATCCCAATTTTATACGGACACTTTACCAACAGCATTTGCTCACATCTGAAATATGTGATGGTCATAAGATTTTGGCCAAATTCGCTGCAAAAATTATAGAGGACGCAGAGTTAATTAAGAGATTACAGGATACTAAATTTGATATAATATTGACAGACCCTGCCCTTACTTTTGGGGTTATTCTGGGTAGTTATCTCAAGTTGCCGATGGTATTTAATGTCCGCTGGATGAATCTAGGTGAGGGTCATTTAGCCATGGCTCCCACCCCTGTGTCTTATGTCCCTGTATCAGGAAGTGAACTTCCTGATCAAATGGATTTTCCAGAGAGGATTAAAAATATGTTGCATTATCTCCTCAATGTTTATGACCAGTACTTCGTTATTAACCCAGTCTACTCAGAGCTGTTCCAGAAACACTTTCCTCCTGGCACGGACATGATTTCTTTGGAGCTCTCAGCTGAAATCTGGCTGTTTAGGGCAGATTTTGTCTTTGAGTTTCCACGGCCCACC